AGGAGTGAAGGGGGACCCGCAGGTGAGTGCTTCCCTCTTGCGGGCCGCTGTCCACGACCTGCGCGGTCGTATTCACCCTCACTGTATCCAGGAGGTAGGTGCTAGCAAGTTCCCACTTTCCAGAAGAGGAAATCGAGGCTCAGTGGACTGAAGTAACTTGTCCAAGGTCACACACCTATGTCTGCCTGGCTCGAAAGCCCGTGCACTTCATCTTTATGCTTTCAAGCCTATGGAGAGCGTCATAGGGAAAAGGCCGGCATTAGGGGCTCTGAGAACTCGCAAGAGAGAGGAGGCTCCAGCTGGTCCTTCACAGAGGGGGAGCCGGGAGCCTCAGGCTCCTCCAGCGTGTTCTGCAGCGGACCCTGGACTCAAGTTGAGTCAGCCATTCCTTGGCATCGAAACTCGTGAAAAAGATTTTGGGGCACAGCAGAGAAAATGGGCTAGAGAATCAATAGTAACCGTCACCCTCCAACAAAAAAAGAACAGATGAGACTAACCGACAGTCCCCCTCAGTCTTTACCGTGGAAGGAGCTGAGAAGAGAACTCCCCCGTGTCCACAGCATTTCTCAGCCCTCGCTCGAGTGCCAGTGAGACAAACATTGACAAGTACACAGCATGGACCAAAGAAGGCACTGTCTGGCCTGGAGACACTGAAGGGGTACAACAACCAACTGTGATATGTGGATGCTGTTTGAAGCCTTATTCAAACAGCCAAACTGTAAAAAGATGTTTTGAGACAACTGGGAGAATTTTATTATGGGCAACAATTATTGTCAATTGTTTTTAGGTTTGCTCATGCCCTCATGGTTACCTAAGAAAATATCCAGTATGTGGGGGAGATGATGGTGTGGTAGAGAGGCAGGAATCGATACGCTGTCTAAAAGTGTGCTTGAAAATACTTCAGCAAAACACAGTAGGTGAAGCAAATGTGACAAACTCTTGATAACTATTGAATCTGGGTAATGGGCCTGGGTGTACATTATGCTATTTTCTCCCCTTTGAGTATTTTTGAAATTTTTCATAATAGAAAGACTTATTTATGAATGTTTAATGGGATTGGCCAAGGGGGCAGCAAGAGTGCACTGTGTTTGCAAGCAGAAGGCCTGGCCTTTGGTCTCCGCTCTGCTACTTACCCAGCTCCCCTCCGTCCCTCCCTCCCTCCTTTCCGCCCTCCCTCTTCGTCAAGTTAGTCATTTTAACTCTTTGACTTCTGACTTCTGGTTTTCTCATCTTTTAATTAGAAAGAAATAATGTCTGGTTTTCAGAGGGGTTGGAAGGATTAAGTGAGAAAATGGGGGCGACCATATATATATTCATGGGCATGACAGAAATGCAATGCAAGGAATTCCTGGTATTGGAAAATCAGCTCAAAGCCACCAGCAACCAATGATATATATCAAAAGTATCAAAGTTACCTTTGCCTCAAGATCCGGAAATGTGGCCAAAATATTAGTTCACGTAGGCCAGAGAATGGGCTAATTACCGTGTGGCTGTATACATAATTCTCAGTGAATCTCCTTCAACATTCAGTGGGCTACCATGATTGCTACCAACAGGTCATCTCAGTGATTCCAGGAGGTTTTCAGGGAGGATATATACCCTATATATCTCCTTTCAAACATAATTTAAATTTTTATTTTGAAAAATTTCAGACCTCCAGAAAAGTTGCAAGAAGAGTAAAATGAACCTCCTTCTACCATTCACCTAAATGCACAAATTGTTAACATTTTGCCACATTTCAGGTGCCATATATTTCCAACTCTGAAAGCTTTTGACAATGTATCAACTTCCTCGGCTGTTTGGAAGGGCAGGAGGGAGGGCAGGCAGAAAGGAGGGAGAAAACCTGTCAAGGAATGCAGAACCCTGTTTCATTATATGGCATATTTGTTTTCATGTAAGAAAGAAACAAAATGACATTTCAGTGTGTGGAGAAATATGAACATCAGGTTTTTTCATTGACTGGCCTGAGGAATAGCCTTCCAGCTCGTTTGTAAAAATACTAATAAGAGGAAGTACAGCCTAAAACCTTGGCCATGCCCCCCTTTTACTCCCAAAGTTAGGAAGAATCGTATTAATTCAAACACCCTCCGGGGCACAGAATGCAAGGCGCAGGATGCAGACAGGGGAGGCCACGATGCATAGAGAGGCACTTGGGTGAAGCAGAATCCCCACCTGAGTCTTGGGCAGGGAAGGCCTCTGCAGACCAGCTACGGAGGCCCCTTCCAGGAAACATTCACGCACACAGTCTTGCATTCCACCACTTCTCATCCCACACCTCTGCGGGTCAGATGCTGTGCCAGGCACGGCACACCCAGAGGAAACACACAGGGTCCGCTTCTGCCCACACCTGCCCCCAGCCTCCACCTGTCGTCCTCAGGCTGTTCCCTCTCTGTCCCCTCCCACCTCTTTTCAGCGCCACCTGTCCCAGGAGGAGTTCTACCAGGTCTTCGGCATGACCATCTCCGAGTTTGACCGGCTGGCCCTCTGGAAGAGGAATGAACTGAAGAAGCAAGCCCGGCTGTTCTAGGCAGAGGCTCTATAAATATATATGCATTTATATAAAGATATATGTAAAATCTCTATACTGAAGCTCGGTATAATCTTCTCTTGTGTAATGGGACACACTGCCTGCCATGAGACTTGCTTTTCTGTACTGTCAGGCAAGCCCACGTCATCGAGATATTTTTATGCTCCTTACTTTCTCTTTTCTAAGTGCTCTAGGGTTTGGGAAGGGATTTGAGGAGACTCCCATCCTTTTACTGGGGATCCTTTTTATACTGAAACATCTGTCCTAACCTGAGTCCCCCAAGGTCCAACTCTCTTTCCTAAAGGAGGTGCCTGAAGAAGTCTCTCTTCTCTCTGCTTCTCGGCTCTTTCCCCAGTCACCAGGGTAGATGCTGACCATGCAGTTTTCACCCCTTACTGGCCCCAGAGGGGCCCTCGCATGGGAGGATCCACAGCGATCTCCCAAAGTCACTGAGCACCTTTGAGAGCCCGTGAAGAAATTTCTCATCCCCCCCAGTTAGGAGTTCGGTGCTCTCTAGGGGTGATGCACTTCGCCGTGGAGGCCTCGGATCTACTCAGTACAGCAGCAAACAGAAGTGGCTAGGGCCTTGGCCTCTCTGAAGCTCCTCAGTCCTCCTCCGTCTGCCCTGGATCCTAACCTCTCCCTTGTCCAAGTCTCATGGTAGGAGAAGACAAGGCACTTCCCTTCCCTCCACCACTTCCAGCTGGCCCCTTTGCCTGGCCCCGACGTGGAGACAAGGGAAGGCACGGGAGCTGGCAGCAGGGGCCAGAGCAGGGCACCTGTTAGAACTGGAGCTGCAGGACCTCTTGCGACCCTCCACTCGCCCTCACTGCTCCCAGCACCTCCTGACCCTTCCCCCCCACTTTGGAGGAGAGGCCCATTATTACAGCCCGTATTCTTCAGCCTTACTACGATCTATGTGCCTGACAACTCAACACACCACAGGGCTAACGTTCCCATCATAGCTCCAACAGAACAACTAGACAGACAACCTCTAACACCCCTCTAAACATAACACAGGCCACGTCCCAAAGAAAGCTTCCCGGTCTAGGCCCACTGGTCCCTGGGCTAGAAGGGCAACTGAACCAGTCCCCCACCAGTCATCAGCTCCCACTGCAAAGTTGGCCGTGTTTCAGAGGGGAAACCTTTGGAAGAATGGCTGCTTATGGAATTCCAAAATGAAGCAGTGGCCAGCACTGCTCATGATCACCCTGGATTTCCCCGGTGGCTGCTTTCCTGCCCTCTTGCCTTCTTGAACAGGGACGAAAGCTTGATGTTAACTTCTCTCCTCCCTTCCCCAAACCTTTGACCTCCCAGTTGGTGATGTTTGGTGGGGTCTGTTCCTTCTTGGAGATGCCTTGATGTAGATCATTTTGAGGTCATAGAGGGAAGGTGAAGAAGTGGAAATATGGAAATAACCGTTAGGACTCTCAAGAGGCTGGTGATGTGACGTGGCAAATAGGGAACTGACTCCAACCCAGCAAACCCTCACTGAGCACCTGCTGAAGCTGAGCACCTGCTGTATCCTGAGCACTGAATGGGGGAGGGGGATGGGGACACTGAGATGATCAACACAGGATCTGGGCTGGGGGGCATGCCTGCTAACCCTGGGTGTCGTCAGGCACGGACTCACACGTGATGGATGCAAGGCAGGAAGTGATGGGAGATGGCCTGAGAACGTGTTTGTGAAATTACTGAGAAAGCAGATGCAAGTTGGTGCAGACCAAGGAACACTTTCTGGAAGAGCTTGCATTTGAGCAAAGTTCAGGAAGGATCTTTGTAAACTGAAAGGAGACTGTAACTTGAAAGGGTGATAGGATGAGAGGCCAGAAGGAGGTCTAACATACTCTCATTTAAAACATCAACCCTCTCTGCAACTCTCCTTTTGGCCAGTGTCTTTCAACTGTCCTGACCCCTTAGAAATGTCCCCAGCCAGACGCAATCATCGAAACTGCCTCATTTTCACTGGTTGAGAACTTGGCAAGATGAAGGGCTTTTGTTATTATTGTTGGGTATTTTTGTTTCCCATAAAAGCACATAATTTCAACCCAGACCCGTGTCCTTCTGTTGTTTCTGGTATGAGTGGAAATGTGTGATATGGGAAGAGGCTGAACTGTGCACATTTTCCAAAATAAAAGAGTCTAGAGAGCAGCTCTCTCTTGGCCTCAGTTTCTCCTTCTGTAAATTAAGAAAATGTGACAAGGTAAGCATCACCCAGATTGTGTCCTGCAGAATGGGGTTCTGCAAGATGGTGGAGGATATTCCAACAGCTATGGTTCCATGATCCAAAAACTAACAATAATAATAATAGTTCATTATTGAGTACTGACAGTGTACCGAGGTCTATACTGAAGACTTTACACCCATCATGTCACATCAGCCTCTGTAACAACCCAAGAGGGAGGAGATAAGAATAATTATTTATAACTCACAGATGAGAAAACAGCTTTCAAGAGGACTTATAATTACGGTGATGGAGCCAGAAGCCAAGTCCAGCCTGTTTGGGCTTAGAGACACCAGCTTAGACCCTCCTAGCAGTCAGGATGCTTTTAGCTGCAAGTAAGGAGCGCCTTCTTAAAAGTGACTTAAACAATGAAAGTCCATATTGTCCTGCACAACTGGAAATCCAAGTGCAGGGCTAATCAATTCAACACTTTGATGATGCCATCAGGGGCCCAGGTTCTCTACATCTCTCCACTCCACCATCCTCAATACAGTGGCTTTTGTCCTGAGATGTGACTCCTCATGTTTACAAAAGGCTGCTGTGGCTCCAGGCATCGTGTCTTCACACCACCACATCAAAAAACAGGAAAGAAATTTCCCTTTATGTGTCTCTTTTGATCAGAAAACTATCCCAGAAGTCCTCAGTAGACTTCTCAGGTCCCACTGGCAGAACTAGGGAATAGGTTCATGCCCTTGCTGCACAGAAGGCTGGGAAGTTGAGTATTTGGCATTTTGAGCCTCGATAGTGGGTGGCAAGTGCTGTGCTGGGAAAGAAAAGAGACAGGCAGACAAGGAAGGGCCTCTGGATAAGTGAATCACAGTGTCCCTGCCACAGTCACTGTCCCTCCCCTTAGAGACCCACAGTGTACACTGCCAAAATCCCACAAAGGCCTGTCCTTTGTTTAATCCAACGTTTCATAAACTAATTTGACATAACTCTAAGAAATGTTAGACTTACTCTCTTTCTACTGTATTTCCTATTTGTATCCTAAGATAAACACTTATCTCACTTCTGACATCTCTGAAGGTGAAATGTGGCTTAAAAGTATCTCCTTTCCTGACCTCTCATCAGATGATTCTTCTAAGAATCATCCCCACCATGGCCCCTCCAGACAGGTGGCTCAAATGTGCAAAAGGACACTAAAGAATGCTCCTTTGCTCCCTGCCTACACACACACACACACCCAGGAAATACTTACTGAGCATCTAGGGGGAGGCAGGAGCACTGAAGATTCAACAGTGAGTAAGGCAGTGTGAGCTCTTATGTAGCTCTGGTCTAGAGGAGGGAACAGACTGTAAGTAAGTAACAGGAAAAGAGATGACACACAAAGATAACGGCTGCACAGACAACAGATGGAGTACCAGAGAGAGGAGCAGAAAGGAGCTTGCTTCACATACTCGCTGAAGGATGAAAACGAAGTATGCAAAGGAAAAGTAGGGGCGGGAGCTCTCTAAGCACAGAGACAGCATGTGCAAAGGCACTGTGGTTGGTGAGAGTTCAGTGTATTTGGGGAACTGAATGTTCCAGTGAAGACAGAGAAGAGTGAGTGAAGGGGAGAATGAGATTAGAAGGGGTGGGGGGTGCCTGGGTGGCTCAGTTGGTTAAGCATCCAACTCTTGATCTCAGCTCAGGTCTTGATCTTGATCTCAGGGTCATGAGTGCAAGCCCCGCATTGGACTCCACACTGGGCACGGAGCCTACTTTAAAAAGAAGGAGAAGGAGAAAGGCAGGCAGGGTCCAGAACATGCAGGGAGACTGAATGCCTCTCATTCATTCAGGCTTTGTGGATATTGTCTGGATTGCACTGTGGTTGCTAACCTACTAGAAGCAGGGAAAATCGCTCTGGGCCTTGTTCCTTGGAGTGTGGTCCCCAGCCAGCAGCATTGGAGTCACCTTGGGAGCTTGTGAGATATGCCGCATTCCATGCCGCACCCCTGGCCAACTCAATCCACATCTGTATTTTAAGAAGACTGCGGGTGATTCACACACATAGTGAGGTTAGGGAAGTGCTGCTCTAAACCGTCTTCTTTTTACGGACAAACACCACCACACCAGCCTTGCCGAAGTTCAAGAAGGGAACTTTTCTCCGTGCACATGACCTTTTTGAACACTGGGGGGCAACCTTACGTTAATAAAGCAGAACATAAGGGGGAGGGAGCACAGAAATCACAGAACGTGAGAGCTTAAAGTCAATACAATGGCCACATTTTGCAGCCACAGAAACAGGCCCACGGAGCATCTGAGCAGAGCAGGACAAGCCGCCAGCTCGCCTGCACTGGGGCCCGTCCCTCACACCAGGCCCCTGGAGCAGAAACGGGGAACAAGCTGTGGAAGGTGTCAGCAGCTGCAGCTGGCTGCCGAGGAGCCCAACATGGAGGAGGGCTTGAAATTCAAGGAGGGGAAAGCACTGCTAAAATTCATAGTAATTAACTCCACAGAACTATGCCAACTCCGTTAATACCCCATGTGGAATTAAGTTTTAAATGCTTCGTTTCACATTGACTTCAAGGTGCTCAAAAATCTTGCCTACACAGGGCGCCTGGGTGGCTCAGTTGGTTAAGCGACTGCCTTCGGCTCAGGTCATGGTCCTGGAGTCCCGGGATCTAGTCCCGCATCGGGCTCCTTGCTCGGCAGGGAGTCTGCTTCTCCCTCTGACCCTCTTCCCTCTCGTGCTCTCTATCTCTCATTCTCTCTCAAATAAATAAAATCTTTAAAAAAAAAATTAAAAATCTTGCCTACACAATGATAAACACCTACTTATATACACAGCCATGAGCTGTGGTCCAGCCACTCAAGAGCCCTGGAGGGAGACCCTCAATAAATAAAATTCCGAAGCTATGAAGACAAGGGCCAGCTTCTCGTTACCACCCAGGATCCCCTTGCCTCTTCACCGGGTCTGGTCCAAAATGACTGGTACAGGAGCATAGGCAAGAGAAACCAAAGGCCTGTAGTCACACACACACACACACTCACCCACACTCTCACATGGTTCAAACTGGGGCCAAGTGTGCAGATGAATTGGGTCAAAAGTAAGGTGACTTCTATGCCCATGACCAGAAGTGTTCCCCGAATTTCAGTCACTCAAACACAACCTTCTCAATTTTCACCAGATTCTTTATTTACATGATGCTATTTACCTGGTATTTTTCTCTCAATTGACTCATACCTGACATTTTTTTTTAAAGATTTTATTTATTTATTTATTTATTTGATAGAGAGAGAGACAGCAAGAGAGGGAACACAAGCAGGGGGAGTGGGAGAGGGAGAAGCAGGCTTCCCGCTGAGCAGGGAGCCCAATGAGAGGCTCGATCCCAGCACCCTGGGATCACGACCTGAGCCAAAGGCAGACGCTTAATGACTGAGCCACCCAGGCATTCCATGACATTTCTATTTTTTTTAAAGATTTTATTTACTTATTTAATTGACAGAGAGAGAGAGCATGAGAGGGAACACAAGCAGGGGAGTGGGAGGGGGAGAAGCAGGCCTCTGGCCGAGCAGGGAGCCCGATGCGGGACTCCATCCCAGGACCCCGGGATCATGACCTGAGCCGAAGGCAGTCGCTTAACCAACTGAGCCACCCAGGCGCCCCGACATTTCTATTTTAAAGCAACATCAGGGAAAGTATGGATTCATAAGGACCAGTGATAGATATGCTTTTAATACAAATTCAAATAAATTGGTAACTCTACCAATGTGGTCTGTGTAACATCTAAATCCAACCACATTTCCACCAGTAGTCTGAATTCCACACTATGGGAAGCATTGCTCTGTCTGAGGGAAGTGGGAGGGGAGGAGATGTGCATTCCCCATTAGGGTGGGCCCTACTCCAATTAGCCTGGTACCCCTATGAGAAGAGGAGACTGGGACACACAGAGACACCAAGTGACAGAGGAAAGACCATGTGAAGACGCAGCAGGAGGGTGGCCTCAGAGGACACCAACTCTGTTGGCACCTTGAGCTTGGACTTTCAGCCTCCAGGGCTGTGAGAAAATAAATTTCCGTTGTTTAAGCCCCCACCCCCTCCCCCGCCCCGGTCCGTGGGATTTTGTTTGGACAGCCCTAGCACACTAATATACCATGTGAAATTAGCTTGCAAAATAGGAATGACAGCACTTACTTCACAGGGTGGTAAGGACGGAATCATGTACTTCAAGCTCAGTACCTGGCTGCAGGGCAGGTGTCCTGTGTGCCTTTGACCCTTCAGCATTTCCTACATGCCTTGATCAGGTGGTTTACCCAGACTACCAGTGCCACCTCTGGCCAGTGCTGGAACTGCAGGAAAAGAGGAACGACTTTCTCCCCTGGACTCTCCACCTACAAAGACCAGCAGGCCTTCAGTGGCCGGACCTTTCTTCCCCACAGGCTGAAAGGGACCACCTGAAGATGAAGACTAAGCACAGGAAGGCAGAGTCAGGAGATGGAGACAAAGCGGTGACTGCTCTGCTTGCCAGCCTCATTCCCTTCAGCTCCCCAGTTACCTCTGAGCGAATGAATTCCTTTTTTGGTTTAAGCTGGTTTGAGTTTTGATTCTGTCACTTGCCACCAAAGGAGTCGTGACCAATATGCCTGCTCCTAGAGAAAATTAACCTTAACAGGGGAGTCTCAAGTGAAGTCTCCTATGCCTTCGTGTGGATAAAGAAGGTATTGTCTGTCTAACTCACAGACAGGGTCTTACCCACCTGGACCAGGAGAAATGGTCCTGTGTAATTTGTCCTTCTGACAAAATAGCAGCACTATTTAACTTTTTAAAAATATACACACAAAATTCCAACCTTTGACAGACCCTGTGGGTAACAGTAGCTGGAAGCTCTGTCAGCCTCCTATTTAAGAATATGAGGTGTTCTTGCAGGGAAGGCAAAGAATCTGGCAGAATCTATCACATTTCCAATGGTTTGATTTACATAAACCCGCCTGCAGGGGGCAGCCTGGGTGTGTGGCTGCGATGTCAGTCTCCCTTAACATTTCCAGCAGCATTTGACCACCTCTGCAGAGGAAACCCATATTGATTGCAATAATAACTCACACTCTGACAATGCGTCAGGCACTGGAGTGAGCACCTGACATATCTCATTTAATCCTCTAGGTACTTCTTTTACAGATGAGGACATTGAGCTCTCGATAAGTAATTCGTTTTAAGGTTTCAGAGCTGTACATAGCTGAGCCTGAACCTGAACTCAGGGATGTCTCACCCCGAAGCCCATGAATTTGGCCACCGTACAACAACTACCTCCCTGAAGAGTGCGAGCTAAATTTGGAGAACGCTTCCTCTGTGCCAGTTCAGGCACCAAGCACGCTACATACACAGTCACATTGAAGCCTCACAAGCCCCCTGTGAGCGGGCTGTTGTTAGCCCCTGATTTTTAGATGAGTCATCGAGGGTTCAGAGAGGTTGAAGATCATACCTTTGATCTTGCTTTTCTTCCCCCAGTGTGTCCCACAAATGGCAGAGAATGAGTTATGGGGGCAGGAGTGTGGCTCTGGCGACATCAAGTCTGGAGTCCTTGGACACCACTCCTGGCCCTGCCTCTTAGGCCTTGTGTGCTTTGGGCTGTAGTTTCCTTACCTGACCAGTGGAGAGACCATCCCGGCTAACCTCTCCAGTTCCTCTCTGCTCTCAAGTTTTTGTGGTTCCAGGTTTCAGAAATTCCCTGTGGACTGCTGCAGCCTGGTCTCATCCTGCAGCACAGAGGTGAAAATGGGGCCCACGACGCAGCCTTTCAGAAGAGAGGTAGGTAGCCCCTGCGGCAGTGTTAGGCATAAAAACATAAATAGGTGCAGCCTTTGGGCATAAAAACAAAAGCTCTTTTCCTCCAGACACAACCAGCGCACTGGGCTCCGTTCCCCACTGAAGCCGAGCCCGGTGGCCCGGGTGCAGGTAGGAGCCCCGTGCCCTGGAACAGAAACCCGAAGGTTCAACCAGAGGAGGGGTTTTCAGCCATGAAACTCTTTCTTTTTCTCCCAGCAGCCACCACGCATATCTCTATCTGCTTTCCGGGGCCCGGGGTAGACCAGCAGACGTGTGTCATTTCCCTGGGTAGGGGCCATAATGGCGACATTGTGCCGAGTGGAACAAGAGAAGTTTTCATCGGGCCACCAGCCCTGGGCAGCCACTCGAACAGGGGGCTCTGCAGCTCACCCTGCACAAAGGAGCTTGGGAGAGGGGCCCTGAGATGGGGAGAAGCCCAGTGGGCTGGGCTGCCTGCCCCCAGCTGCATGCAGGAAGGCTGGGACGCAGAGACATAGTGCTTGCAGAACACCTCGCTGCTATCTCATTTCCCCCTGCAAATAAGTGAGCAAACAAACACTCCCAGAGGATAAACGGCTCCCTCCAGGACACATGCATTAGAAGAAGCCTCAGGAGCCCTTGAGCAATTACTCACGGACTCACTCCACAGTACTTATGTCCGCTCACCAGGTGCCAGGCCCTGAACTAGGCTGTAGGAGCTATCAGGGAGTAAGACACAGCACCCAGCCTCACACTGCTTGCAATCTGGGGGGCCAGGAAGAGGCAAGGAGAGAAGCAAATAGGAAATTAAACATTGACGACCCAACAAAAGAACTGAGATGCACAGAGCAACAGAGTCAGTTCAAGAACCCGGGTCTGAACACCCGATCTGTGGCTTCTCTGACTCTTCCCAGGGTCTCCTGAGCTGCTTGTCTGCGCCGAGGAAGGGGGTCAGTGAAGAAGGCACCCCACACACCATAATAAGGAACTTGGACTCTACACTGAGGGCAGAGGGGGGCCATCACATATTTTTATGGGGAATCTGATTGGGGTCGTGGAATGTTCACTTTGGTGGCCATGGTGCAAACGGACCTAGAGGCAAGGTGACAAGGTAGAAGGCGAAAGGACGTTTCTTTCACTGGGACGCAGAATCTTTAGCCTCCAAATTTTTCTTTCCCAGGGCTTCCCAGCTCCACCTGATAAGCTGAGAATGAGACTGGGGAGTATCATTTGTTTTCACAAGACTGGGAGCATGAGGGAGTTGAAAGCTTTCTTCCTGGTATTGTTCACCGGGATCAAATTTGATATCTTTTTACAGAGCTGGAGCTCTCCACACAGAAGTCTTTAGACAGCACCAGACAAACCTAGTACAGAGCAAAAAAAAAAAAAAAGCCTCTGTGAGGGTCACATTCATGCAGAGACATGGCAAGGGAAGGAGGAAACAGGGCATCCACAACCTCCATCCCAGTCCCTCACCAGCACTTACCACTCGACACCCCACAATGGCACCAAACCAAATGGCTTTGCAGGCACATCCTGCGGTCTCCCGTCTCTGTGACTCTGTTCCCACTGTTTGCTCTGCCTGCCATGTACTCTCCCCGTGGTGGGCTCCCCCAAATGTCCGTCATCCTGTACTGTGTCCATGACTGCCTTGTCTTGATGAACTCTAAGAGCACTTTATCTCTCCTCTGGTACTTTTCACATAATAATTTGTAACTCGGGCGCCTGGGTGGCTCAGTTGGTTAAGCGACTGCCTTCGGCTCAGGTCATGATCCTGGAGTCCTGGGATCGAGTCCCACATCGGGCTCCCTGCTCTGCGGGAAGCCTGCTTCTCCCTTGGCTTGTGTTCCCTCTCTTGCTGTCTCTCTCTCTCTGTCAAGTAAATAAATAAAATCTAAAAAAAATTTAAAAAAATAAAATAAAAAAATAATTTGTAACTCATTTATTTTGTACACATTTATCTCCTCTACTAGACTGTAGATTCCTTGAGGACAGAGCCCATTCCTATTTCGTGTTACTTCTCCCACTTGCACAGAATGCAACACATATTCCTAAGGGAACTGATGAAATGTGGTGTCGTTTCTATGGTGACGATGGACCCCGTTAAATGAAAAGGACAGAAAAGATATATATGTAGTTATTCCGCCACTGGGAGCCCACAAACAGGGTTTCTCATTCAGTGATCCTGCCGGCAACCAAGCTGTAGTCAACTTAGTCAACAGTGCCACCGAGTGGGCATTATGAGTAATTATCTAAACCAGAACCACCAGCCTCCACAGCCGCATCTTTTTGTTAATGCTTAGCAGAACTGTGCACAGACTGTGTTCTCCCACTTACCCATTTTCCCCGGTCCACAGCTCAGTTAATCCCACTCCATAAATTATTCCACAAATCCATAGAAATTCTCCTTAGCCCTTTTGACTTTTCTGTTCCAATTCTCTGATGAACCTCCAAAGTCCTTAAAAGTTTCCAAAATTTCTTTTAAAAATCTACTAAAGCCTCCAACTGTCTTTACAATTGTTATATTTTATATTATTTTATTCTCTCAAATGAAATATTATGTTTTTAAAAGTATTAATGGGCTGGCCTGGGAACTTAACTGCCATTTACAGCCTTGTTTCCAAGTGTTTCAGAGTTCCAACAGTGAACTTGGGGAACTTAATCCACTTGTAAATTGTTGGTTGTCTGCTTTAGAATTTAAACTGACCTTTTCAAATTGGAAAAGTAGGCAGGAACAAAGAGGAACTTGGAAAATAATAATGGCTCACATTTTTATAGCTATTTATGGTTTATAAAGTGGGTTTGTACCATCATTTCACTTGCCCTCTCAGCAGCCCTATGAGGTCAATAAGAGGTCTCCCCAAGCACAGATGAGCAAGCAAGTCTTATGCCCTTCGTAGAGCAAGACCTCACAAACAAGTTTTCGGACTCAAATCCTATTGTTTTCTTCAGTACCCCACATTTCCTCTGAGTGTGACCGCATACACACTACAAACAACACAGGCAATTTTTTGAAGACAGCATTAATTACAACTTGCCCATAAAAGCAACGGAGAAAAGACTCCCGGTCCAGGAAGAGGCAGGATTCTCTTTCCCAAGCTGTTCCCCGTCTCTCTGCCTTTGCACAAGGTGATCCCAATGCCAGGATGTTCTAAGTCAAAGGAGTTCCCTAGTCAAAACTGAAAACAGAGACTTGGCCCATCTTGGGGAGGAAGGGTGTCTAGGAGGACAACTGGGCTTGGACTTCACTTTATAAAAGGTCTTAAATTGGGGCGCCTGGGTGGCTCAGTCATTAAGCGTCTGCCTTCGGCTCAGCTCATGATCCCAGGGTCCTGGAATCGTGCCCTGCATCGGGCTCCCTGCTCCGCGGGAAGCCTGCTTCTCCCTCTCCCACTCCCCCTGCTTGTGTTCCCTCTCTCGCTGTGACTCTCTGTGTCAAATAAATAAATAAAGTCTTAAAAAAAATAGAAGGTCTTAAATTTAGACATTTGCCATTGTCTGTAAATTAGTTGTACCTGTTTTCACAGAGACACACTAATAGGATGAAAGTTGACATTCTTCATACAACTTTAAACTTAAATCCCATTCCTGGGCCAGCCACACTGGCCACAGCAGTATTTTTTTCTACACGCTGCAATTATTTTGGAAAGAGCACACTTATGGTGCACTATATTTTGTATGCTAAAAGTATTCACTTCCACTCTGTTGTATCCCTCCGTTTTGATATTTCTTCATCTGTTAATACACAAAGAATCTCCAAAGTTTAAGTATCCCAAGCACTGCCCACCTTTTAATCGTCTCTGTTTGTCCTTGTCTTCGACGATCTTCTTTTTGGAGATCTTTATTGTTAGTATTTCACTCTTTTCTCACACCATGATTGACGGTGCACCGGTATAGTGCCCTGTCCACTATCTGCACTAGAAGGTGCTCAGGCAAGACCTGTCGAATGGAGGCCATAAACCCAAAGTCAGAAAAAGTGGCAGCTGCAGGGAGAAGTTTTGATTCCACTTGGGGGGGGGGGGAGGCACGGGGGACATGTTCTAACAGTCTGGGCAGTCTGCAGATGGAATGAGCTGGAAGGTGCGACAGTAAGCCCCCCATCGCCAGACGAATGCAAGCAAAGCGGAAGACCGCGCGCGCGGGCCGGGCGGGGGTGGGCCGCGCGGGCGCGGGAGCGAGGGCGCGTGAACCGGGCAGTGGGTCCCCGGGCCGCAGCGGGAGGGGCGCGGGGGCGTGCGCGAGGCAGGGCGTGGCGCGGGCGTGTGCGGGAGCGGGGACACCGGGCCGGCCGGCCGCCCAGGGGGCCAGGCGTGCTCCGGGTCTATTCCGGGAGCGGCGTGGAGGGGCGGGCGCGCGCGGGCGGGGGCGCCGGGCGGGCATCCTGTCTGGGGGAGGGGACGCCCGCGGAGGGCGCTCCCGCGGGGCCGGGCCAGAGAGCCGCCAGCCCCGCCGGAGCCGCTGCGCCCTGCTCCGCGCGCCCGGGGACCGCCGGCGCCATGGACCGAGGCCGGGGTAAGAGGAGCTGCGGCGCCCGCACTGGCGACCGCGCGGGGCGGGGAGGGAGAACGGTGATCCAGGGGCCCGAGAGGAAGAGGAGGGTGGAGGGCTGAGGAGGAGTCGGAGCGGGCGCGGGGTCGGGGGCGGGAGGCCCGGGGCAGGGTGGACAGGTGCCTCCTGCGGCTGGGGCAGCCCGGGTGTAGATTAGTCCCTCGCGTCCCGGGCCCGAGTGGCCTGCTGTGTGTAAGACCAGTTTCATACACTCAGAGTCAACTTCATGAAAGAATGCCCCACAGGATTCCTGAGGACAGCGAGCTCCTCCCACCCCATTCCCCTCTGGGAGGGTAAGATAGGGTTGGCAGGTACACTCCCCAACACCGGGACGTGTGAAGCCCAAAGCGTGCGCCCCGTGAGAGGCCCCGGGAGCCCCGAGTTTGCAGCTGCCTAGGGCAGTGAGAGAAGGAGGGACATGCGTGCCAGGGTGCGCGTGGGTATCTGAGTCCGCC